TGAGCAGGGGTCTCTATTCACTCTTCCGACGATGTAGGGCTCTCTCTATAGTTTTATTTCTGGACATTTATTACAGTTGTTCTATCTTCCGTTAGGATGTTTAATAGGGGTCCACTAGAGATGGATTCCCAAGTTGTAAACTAATGGAGTTTTGGAGTTTGGGTTTGATGGATTTTAATAATTATAATATTTTGCGGATTCTATTTTTAGTTCCTTCCAGCTTTAATTTCATTTCTTAATTTATTTTGTATTCCGTGTTCATTATAAAATATTAATTGTTTGATATTCCCTCGGGTTTGGGCCTGGGCCTGATCAACCCGTGTCTCGGATCCGAGGGGTATCTCATATAGCATACTTTTTCTAACCTAATTTTAATTTTCTCAGTAGATTAGTCATTGATTTTTTATGACATAGAAAGCATGTAACGTGTGATTAGTCATGCCATTTATATGCTTGCTAATGGTTGGTCACACATATGGAATTTCGTTTACTTATAAGAATACGGTGTATCTTGAAAACTCTTCAACTTGTCATTCGTGAAAGTAGAGTTCTTCATTTATCATTATCACACATATGAAACTTTTGTTTATTTACAATTCATGACACTGCGTTGTTTGTTTGAGAAATGATAGGATAACTTTTACAAAAATAAATTTCATTTACTAATAATTAAAATTTTGTAGGAAACAAAACTTATTCACGCACGCGCTAACATTTGTCTCCATGCCGCCATAAAACAATCTTTCCGTTCCATTAAACTGCTACACTTTCAGAGAACACCATAAGACAACAAAATGTTTGATGATATATATATTGATATAAATAAGTTTTATTTATCACAAATTTTAGAACTTCCTTTTCAATTTAACTTTGTCTTTACTGACTCATATAAATTTGTCGCCCATAAATTTAATATAAAATTTGAAGCTTTTTCGTGTTAAAAATCTATATATTTGATATCATATGATGAAATAGGATTAAGTGGAGAAAACTACTTGTAATATAGGTTATATGCACAAATAATTCGTCTTTTTTGAAAATGTACATCTTAGTCTATAAAATTTAAAAAAGGTGCAAATAAGCTCTGACCACTTTTTGATCAAAATGGACATAAAATAAATTTAAAAACCCTAATTTGTCCCCTCTCTTTTCATATTCTGCATTTTTTTATCAGTTGGTTTCACCCGTTTAACAACGGGCCTTCTCCATTATTTATTTATTTATTTATTTTTAATATTACATAAATTTTTGTACACATGTTTTTTTTTTTCTATTGGGCCACCTAACCAATTAGGATTGAAAGACCTGTGTCCTTGTCTCAAAATGGTAATTTTACCTTACTTTATTTTTAAAATATTATTTCATTTTACTGGCAAGAGGGTATTATAGTCTTTTTATATAGACATGGGGTATTTGCACCAAATTAAAAGTAAATGGGTGTTTTATACCACACATGGACTTTTTGACACTATATCAATAGTGCAGGTTTTTTTTTTTTTTTTTTTTTTTTTTTTGCACATAACCCGATGAAATATGATGAAGTGCTTTGTCCACTTGATAAAATATATTTATTTATTTGCATTTTTAAAAATTAATAATTTTTTATAATCCAAATTCCTATTTTGGGAGGCGATACTCGCACTCCATTTTTCTAAATTTGCACTACAATCTCAAATGAAATGACAATTCTAATATTAAGTTTACAAGTAAATTATTATTACCTTTTAAATGACACAACTATCCTTTCGATTTCCTCTCCTTATCTATATTTATTAAAGACATTATCTTTTTGGTCAAGATAAAAATAAAAAAAAAACAAAAAAAAGAGGATTCAAAGTTTTTTTTTTTTTATCTCTTTGAATAAATTATCTATTTGGATATGACAAACACACACACACACACAAAAAAAAAAAAAACAAAAATGAAGAAGAAGTTATTTCTATTGAATAAATTATTTTCTTTGACGCGACCCATCAAAAATCACCAACAAAAAAGTTACATCTTTTGACGCGACTAAAAAAACAAGTTAACTAAGTTAAATAAAGGGTTAATTACACTCACGCCCCTTGAGATTTGATATATTGACAGTTAGATGAAAGTTAGCCATTTTTTGTACATTGACACCCCTATAAGTTTTTTCCTTTAAAAAACATGTGAAATGTCTATATAACCCTTCATTATTTAATTCATTAAAATATCAGAAGTGCAAAATGACCAAAATGCCCATTATAATTATTTATTATTATTTAATTCATTTTACTACTTTCTCTTTCTAACCTATCACCTAATGGAGGCGCTGTCCTCTGGACACCCACTGATTGGTTACATCCCACGGCGAGATTTAGGGGATCTAACCGCAGACGCCGAGTCCTTTGAGCCGATGTAAAAGAACCGGTCGAATTTGGAGATCTGATCGAGCACCAGAGTGATGACTGAGTTGCCAGAGCAAGCCGTGTTGAAGTGTAGAGTCAACGAGGATGTGGAATCGTGGACCATAAGGCTGTACAAGAATGACGACTCTTTGATTTGAGAATAAATGAGAGCGAGCCGCTGCCGATTCTGAAGGCCGAGGATACAAATCCGAGTTGCTTACCAATGATTACAATATTGTGTGCCAGTGCAAATCGTTGATTTGATGAGTTTTATTATTATTAATTTTTTTTTTATTGAGTTGGATTTGGCTGGTTTATGGGGATTTGAAGCTTTCTCATTGGAGATTCTCTTTGTAAGCTCAGATCTCATCCTCACTTTCTTATGATCAGTGTGTTGATTTATATATGTATATATATTGTATTGGGTTTAACTATACTCTCTCTCCTCTTATATATATATATATATGATCAGTGTGTGTTGAATTATTTATGTATATATTGTATTGGGTTTCAGTTAAATTCTTCTCATTTCCTGCTTGGACGGCCCAACAAGAGGTACTGTAAGTTTATAGGGCAGTTTGATGGTGGTCTTGGTTAATTTGATTGATTACCTTTGGAAGGTTTCAATTTCAAAAGATTTTGATTTTGATTAAGGGTTGATCTTTAATAAGTTGATAATCTGAGTTGTTGTGTGCTTTTTTTTGGGTTTAAACCTTCAAAGATTCTCTAAAATCAATTTCGATGGATGGTGGTGGAGATTGCCAGTGCTTTGTATATGTGTGTGTGTGTGTGTGTATATGTATATATATATTTTTGTGGTGAAGGACTATGATGGTGGTGGTGACTGTGATGGTGGTGGTGTCGTCTATGGGGGTAGAGGTGGAGATAGAGAGAGCGGGTGGACAGTTTTGTGTAAAGAGTGAAAGGGGAGACAAGATGAGGGTTAGTTTGGTCCAATAAAATGACAGATAAAAGTCAAAGGGTAATACTGTCAATTCACCATGTGACAAGTGACTATTGGGGTGCTTTGTTAACTTTATCAAACTTGAGGGGGCCTCATTGTTTAAAAAGAGGCAAATTTTCATCTGACTGTCAATAGGGTAAACCTCAGGGGGTGTGAGTATAATTAATCCTTAAATAAATTATCTATTTTGATTTTAAAAAATAAAAAAATAAAATCACCATTGAATAAATTCTCTTTTGACTGTCACATATAAAATTATCAATATGGAATATATTTTCTTCTTTGAGAGGACATCCGGATAAAAAGAAAAGAAAATATAACACAAGAAAAAAATAATAGTAAAGGAAGTAAAGAAGGTAAAAAAAGGTTAAAATTGTATAAAGGATAGTTATGACATTATAAAATAAAGGATGATGCATTAATGAATTCAAGGACATTATTGTCATTTTTTTTAAAAGAAGATTGTAAATGGAGTGAAAATGAAGAAAAGTGGAGTGCCAATATTGCTTCCTATTCTTAATTCTATAAAATACCTTTAATAATGTAATTTGAATGTGACTTAAAATGACGAGTGAAAAAGACTTTATTTATACCCTCACGAGACAGCATGAGGGTATATGTTGCCACTCCCAAATGAATTGTCATCTTTACTCTACTACTAAATGCAGCATTCTAAAGTGATTCACATTATTATATAATTTATAGATTTACTATTAACTACCTCCGCTCTTAAATTATAGTATCATTTTAATTTAAAACACTAATAAAACAGCAAATTAACAAAATTCAATTCAAAATATATATCATCAATCATTGTGCTAGTTGATGATAGTGAACCATATCTCAACTCAAGATATGGCTCTCATATTGTTCACAAATAAAGAAACTTAACTAATTAATAAATGGAGCAAACAACAATGATGTGGTCCAGTGGACAGAAAGGTATGGTCATTTTCAGAAAACAACATTGATATTTTTTGGTCTCCAATTCAAATATCAATGCAAAGTGTTACATCTCCAAAATAACCTCAGAGAAAAGGCAGATATTCGTATCCTGTCAATTTCTTTCAACCATATATGATGTTTTTCAATTATCAAACCAATAATTAATAAACAATAACACAATGTGAATTATCAAAATTAGTTTCCTTAACTTCCAAAAGTCATTACTGGGATGAAATTTCAAAGGTACAAATTTAAGAAAGCCAAAAAAAAAAAAAAAAAAAAAAAAAAAAAAACACTGGACGACCTGATTCAAGTTTACAAATGGAACTTCTTCAATACCAGTCTCTTAGAATCCTATGGAAAAATATCAAATGGTATCAGGCAAATGTGTATGAGTGAATTTCCTTTACTAGAAAAAAACCTTCAGAAGATTCATTGATCTCTGATTTACCGGAACACACAGGATATTATTGTTGAGGACTGTTAATACCTAAGCACAATTTGCATCATCGAAAGCATGGAGGCCAATTAGAGGTTATGGATGCTGCTCAGTGTCACTGATTGTTCCTTAGGAATGAATGATGAATGTGGTGTTATATATATCTTCCTCAGTCTTGGGTCTACCCAGCATAAATAAACTAGGAACACAATGGCAGTGTTTCATTAGGAGCATGACCATTTATAGACATCAAAAAAGAAACATTCAGTAGCAAAAAGTCTTCTAAATCAACATGTGGATGCTCATATAATTAAAGGAATAATGTATACAAGAAGAAAAAGATATTACAATTGCATAAAGCAGTAACAAGTCACAGAAATAAGTGCCAGATGTACAACAGAATGGAAAGAGCAACCCAAAAGTGTTATAAATATAAGTCCTTTCTTTCTTTTGTTCTGAAGATGGTGAATCGCATAGAAATCCTCTTACATTTAGGATCTTCAATTGCTTCCTCTTTTATGTGCGCCTTTTGAGTTGGTTTTTAGAGTATAAGTTGAAGAACAGGTGGGGATGTGTTAAGACACAACCAAAGTTAACTAACTGAAATCATGAGGTCTGTTCAATGAAGTGACTGACATGAACAGGTATAAACTGTTTTTTGCCAGAAGGTCAGGCATTATATGAAATGGGAATTTCTAAACCCAACCAAGATTTCACTTGATGTCGACAAATCAATTTGCAGAAACTGTTATCATGACATTATCTGAAGTGGAAGAAGAGACTCTTGCTTGCCTTTGACGAAGAATGTAAGTTCTGCTGGTACAACTACCAATTTCAACCACTCTTGCAGCTCTTCACCATCTACTTTTTCTTTTTCTGAACAAAAACATTGTTAGACCACCACTTAATACTCGACTAATTTATAGATAAGAAGTGCTTATATCATATCTCATAGCGATACAAGCCATTTAACACATGATATTTGATTTATACGAGTTTCTCAGGCAGGTGGGCAAGTCTTTAATTTTACTTGATATAACATCATGGAGATGTTACTGGAACTAAATTTAGCAAAGTTCTATAAAGTATAATCTAATTCAAGCAACAGTGACAAATTACCTTCCAGATGGGCACCAAGCCCCTCCAAAACAGTAGGATTAGCACGAACAACAGAGAGTGCTGTTTCAAGTGCAGATTGCAGCAATGCTTTGACCTCACTTTGAACAAGATCAACAAGATGCCCCTGTTATGTTCAGTGTAAGGTCAGTATTTGCTACACAACTAAAATGGGAAAAAGAAAAGGACATCCACCAGCAAAAGCGAAGAGATAACCTGATCCCTTCCCCAAGGAACGGAACCCCCAGACTCATCAATCCCGCCACCAGAAAGTGTTGACACTGAGACAGGGCCAATGGTCTGATTAAGACCATACTCAGCCACAGCCTTGTATGCCATGTCTGTTGCACGCCGTATATCATCAAGTGCACCTGTTGAAACCCGGCCTGAGTAAACAACTTCTTCTGCTGCACGTCCTCCAAGAAGAGTAACCAAGCGTCCACGTAACTCATCAACAAAGAGCAAATATCTGTCCTCAGTTGTGGGAGGAGAGTAAGTAAAACCCAATGCCCCTCCTGATCTAGGCAATATGCTCAATTTCTAATAAGACAAAAAAATCATTGTTACAATTGCATCACCTTTGTGAAGTACAAACTTTTGTGAGTGTAGCCTGCAGGCATGTGCTGAACTTCAATACAAATTTACTGGTGTAAACAATTCAAAATTCCTTCTTGATTTGCATATTAGTTACTAAGATGCACATGTACTATAATCTGGAAATATTTTGTTCTTAAAATTACACATTAATCGCAAAATTACACATTAATCGCATAGAATGGTTATTCTCACCAAAACTCAAATACTATCAAAATATCAACTCCACCACATCACATGCTAGCTATACATAGATTTCTTTCATTCAAAGTTGCTGTTGCTTGCTTCCTCAAATCAAGTAGTTGACCATGAATATCTCAACTTGTTATTTGTTTCCTTACATATAGGAACTAACTGAGAGATACTCTCTTGTAAAGTCTATATATACTCTCTTGTAACACATTGAATATACATCGATTTCTCCCAGTACTTCTCTGTTACTGTTGTTTATTAAATACCCTCGGACAAGTATATGATGCAATGGATTGGTTCCATTGATACTGAGGTGTATTGCCCATATTTGTAAATAGTTTGGTTTACTCTTTCCGAAACAAAGAAAGATGTAAAGACTATACATAATAAGAGAGAGAGAGAGGGAAAACAAAATTATGTCAAGGTTACGGTATCTAACCATAAAGAAGACTGCAAAATAAAACGCAAACAAATAGACTGCTGCAAGTAACAAACTTTAGCAGACGCAGGATAAAAGTGACATCTGAGATGCTCGAGAGTTGCCAACTCTCATCATAGTCTGCTATATTGGATTAGTATTTATTATATTAACCACCAAGTGTAACACAAGTGATGACTGTCTATGGAAATGAGCAAATCTATGGACCACTAATAGTCATTTTGGCACAATCACAATAACCAAACACTTAACACTTGCAGATTTAGGGTAAGAGAAGATCATATCCCTATCATGTTACCTACAGATAACACCTCCAAGATGTACCAGGTTTCCAACAGAGCACGCAAAGAATTTCAACTTTAACTAAAATAGAAATAAAAAACAAAAGATACAAGACTCTAGTTTTGATCTAAGAAATTTTCCAACACAAGTCCTATTGGCTTGAACATGAAAAAAGAAGTTTTCAATGTAAGTATTATCTAGCCATTTCTGCATGCTGAGACAAACAACTTTGGTTTTCATTAAAAGAAATTGTGAATTTCACTTCCACCCATGTTTCAATGAGGCTCAAAAGGAAACGAAAACAATACAGCTGCATTGATGGAAACAATAGGAGATTTGGTCCTTACAAGAATAATTAATGGTACACATTAAAACTCTTTATTCACTGAATCCCACAAAATAGCCAAAAGTTAGAAAATTAAACATTCTTAGATACTCTTATATTCTATTCCAACCAAACAATTCTAATATCAAGACTCAAAAGAACAAAGCCAGACAAAGGTATCAAATTCCACATCCCTTGTGGCTGTGCAAAAAATGCAAAAAATAAAGTTACCAACTTTGTGGTATGGGGTTGGCAAGTACTTTGAATCTAGGAAGCTATTGAAAACCCCTCATGCTCCCCACCCCCTTGTAGAAAGGGAGGAGTGGGAGATAGAGAATAATATTTTCAAATACATTACATAAGAGTCAAATATTTTCAAATACATTTAGACAACAGTCATATTGTTTACCTCAACACGTGGCTGACCATGAAGAAGATTTGCAACAGCAGTTCCAACAACAGCATGTCCAGCTTCATGCCGTGCGACAACAGCTTTCTCAATTCCCTGCAACTTGGCAGTCTTCTTTTCTATTCCCTATAACAAGTGAAGTTATTAGATGCTAATCAGTTACTCCAAGAGTTGAAAGTACACTACACGCATTTGAAAATTTTTGTCGAGCTGAATCTTATGACCCTCAATTTAAAAGTAGGCCAGAATCAAGAAAACTATGCTCAATAATTAAAATGTAACAAGCAGAAAACTACCCGGATTGCTAAATCAAAAAGGGCATGGGTACATAAAAGTAGGGGTGCACAAAAAACTGGTGGAACCAAAAATCGAACCGGACCAGTCGGTTTGGGCCTTTTGTTTTTACGGTTTGGTCTGGTCCTGCTTCCAAAAATATGGAACCGTAATTTTATGGTTCGGTACTGGTTCGGAGTCCTTCAGAACCAACCGAACCAAACCGTTATATATAATATTCCCTAACCCAACCCTAAAAATCACATTACGTCATTAACTCATTATCAATTCTCACACATTTCATGCCACCCTCAACACCGCACGCGACCTCCTCCTCCTCTCTATCTCTACACGGTACACCATCGCCGCCTTGGTCATCCCTCACCAGCTCACCTTGCCACTCTCTCTCTCAACCCAGTACACTGTCAGCGCCTTACTACACATTTCACTCTATTAGTATTAGCCAGCGATTGCCCTGCCCCTTTTCAGCGAAGAAGGTTGGATTTTTCTCCACTTCGGCTTTCTTTGTCTACCTCTTCCACAATATATTTATAAGATTAATAGGAGAGAGAATATTGATTTCTCCATATATCTTATTTTATCTGTTTAGTAATATATCACTCTAATTGGGTTTGTCAAAAACGAAGTCACTTTTGGGACGCTGCGAAGGCGATGCAATGCAAAAGAGAGAGTATCAAGGTTCCACGATTTTCGATGATCTCCTTCAAGCTTCGGAGGTACTTTATAACCAGTTTCAACTAGTTGTGTATAAAATTATTGTAAATGTTTACTCTGGAACAAGGATTGATAAATGACCTTCAATTAGAGTTTTATAGTTAGTTTATAATAAGTTTATTTGTGCTATATTTTCAGTTTTGTTACAGCCGATCATCCTTTACCATCCTCTCTCTTTCTAATCTCTTGCTCTCATCTTCAATTCTTGAACCGTGTAACCGAACTGGTTCCTCAAGGTTCGGTTCGGTTCGGTTCGTCCTCGCAATCCAGTTTGATTCCAATTTTTGTGGAAACGTTCCGACCGATTTGGTTCCAAAATATTCCCAAACAGGTCCAAACTGAACCATGTGCACCCTTACATAAAAAGCATTGACATGCAAAGTCAACAAGCAAATAACTACATGATGGAAAATCAAGCACTCTCTCAAGGACAAGAGCCTCAAATACTGAATTTTGAGTCACCAAAACAGCCAAATAATTCATGTAACTGGGCAGATGATATGATGCATGTGTCCAACATTATGCTGCAGGAAGCGAAACAAGTGACGCACATAATTTGTTCCCAAAAAAGTTAGTAAGATTTATTCTAAGATTTGTCCGATTGAAAATGACATTCATATTTTTGTGCACCAAGTCCTGTTCACTTTTGTATTCTGCATCCTACACACAAACATAATCATTGCAATTAAGAATTCGGGACTAAACCATGTGGGCAACATTCTCTAAACAAGGTGTCTTCTCATTCCAAGATCTCATTGAATTTTTTTCCACATCTACATGATTTTTCGCCAATTTTTATACGAAGGGTACACAATTCTAAGAACAAAATTCTTCTCAATTACCATCACATCTAACCCCATCCATACTTCACTAGTTCAGCTATTAGTAGGGGTAGCATTTCAGGTTGGCGTGTCATGTTCGTGTCTTGTTAGGACATGGGTATCCTGTTATATCGGTCAACAAGAACACGACATGATGGCACGATTATTAAATGGGTAAACACGACACGGCACGTGTAACTCGTTCAACAAAAGAGTCAAGACATGACATGACACGACAAGACACGTTTAATTATAATTTCACACTATTAGGGTGAAATCAACCCGAACACAACACGTTTACTTAAACGGGTCATTTCTAATATGAACATGACACGTTCATTTTACATGTTTTGTTAAGCGGGACACATCTTTGTCGCGCACATTTAGTTAATCAGGTTTAATCGGGTTCTAAACGGATTGGTGAATCAAACCCAAACACAACACATTTAATTAGTGTGTCAATTTGGATGAACACGGTTACAACACGAACACGATTAAGGCAAGCACAAACCCACGTGTCGGGTGTTGTGTTATTATGTATTGTCACTCCTAGCTGCTAGATTCTTCTAAGATACTACAAGCAATTTTATTTTTTTTTTCCTTCGGTAAGGTAAAACACACACACATACCCACATTTGCCTCTTATACCCAGGGATTTTTTTTTTGCCTCTTATGAGATTTGAACTCTCAACCTTCCACTTGGAAGGTAGAGGAAATACCACTAGAGCTAAGCTCTTGATGTTAGAAGCAAAATTGCTACAGCAATAATACTCCTCCACCCGTCCCAAAATAAGTGTCCATCTTTCTTTTTTATGGCGTCCCAAAATACTTGTCCCACTTAAAAAGTTCAAACAAGATATTTCATATCTTTCCATAAATGCCCTTGAAGCTTTAAAAAATTTCAAACTTGAGTATATATATATTCAAACTTGAAAGGGTAACTTGGTAATTTTAAAAGGGGACAATGCATTAATTGTATGTCACCTTAAAAACTTCTACTCCCCAAATTGGACACTTATTTTGGGACGGAGGGAGCACTATAATAACATGTGAAAACTCGGAAAATCATGCAGGGTTTGCAACAATTAAGAAAAAAACTCAATTAAAGAAGAACAGCTTAATTACTAGAAAGTAGAAACTAAAGCATTTTTAGCGCCGATAACTGAAAGTATCCAGGGCAAGAAACTATTTTATGATAATAAGTGTGCAGAACGTTTCTGAAGCACTATGACCTGGAATAGTGACACATTATCACGACGCGACAACTTAAGGAGTTAATAATATATTGGCGTAAAAGTAAAAACCAGAAAACATGTGATATAAAATGAGAAAAATCAATAAACTTAGCAAGTCAAAAACAGATCCCCCAACACATGCACGTGCAGCATACACAGATGGAAAAAGAGACAAATGGAAGGAGACAGAGGGAGTTACAGCTATTGTTCGTTCCACTGCTTGAACAAAATCAATTTTCTCCACCACAATTTTATTCTGTCTTCCCGCCAATAAGGCAGCTTCATTAACCAAATTTGCAAGGTCTGCCCTGTGCAGTATCCAAACATATTACTTTGAATGTGTTAGCAAAAATCATAATATGCCAAAATAGGAAGACCTAGCCACTTCAATGTATCAGAAAAGATGATTACCCAGTGAAACCAGTGGTCATAGCAGCAATATCACCGAGATTAACATCTTCTCCCAGAGGAAGTTCTTTCTTAGAAACGTGTACTTTCACAATGGCTTCTCTTCCAATCCTATCGGGTGTTTCCACCTAAAACCCCCCCACATGATACAGATTGTTTAAGAGAAAACCGAGAACTTGTTTTGATGTCAAATTTCAACATGCTAAGAAGTAATATCGAACAAAACAACAATACACAGAGTTGCCAAGCCCCTAATTCTCAAAGGGAGGTCAGGGGTTCGAACCTCAGTGGAGGCATGTGTGTGTGAGTACCAACTAGGAAAAAAAAAAATGCTAATAAGTAATATCGAATAAAACAACAATACAAACCATAACCACACGATCGAATCTCCCTGGTCGGCGAAGTGCAGGGTCTAAGACATCAGAGCGATTAGTAGCTCCAAGAACTATCACAGCAGAGTTGCTATCAAAACCATCCATCTCCTGCAGTGTTGAAATAACACATGCTAAAAGTTATAGCATTCTGGAAGCAGAAAGACAGATTAAAGGAATCTTACAGTGAGCAACTGGTTCAAGGTTTGCTCTCGTTCATCATTGCTGACAATGCGAAATCTACCATCACGGCTTTTTGCCACGGCATCTATCTGCACGGAAGGAAAAAAGTGACTTACAATTCACCAATGATATCTAAAAGTTAAATATGAAAAAAAAAAAACCGAATATCGCAACCTCATCTATGAATATTATTGACGGTGCTTCCTTCTTTGCCCGTGCAAAGAGATCTCTGACTCGGGACGCTCCCATGCCAACGTACAATTCCACAAACTCACTTGCAGAACAACTTATGAAAGGCACCTCAGCTTCCCCAGCAACAGCCTTTGCTAGGAGTGTCTTACCAGTCCCAGGAAGACCCACCTGTAAGATAACCAAAGTCATGCTTACAGATCATGATTGAAACTCAAATTAAAAGCAATTATATCACAATGGCATTTATCTCAGCTAGAATGTTCTACCAACAATGTCACACAAGTTGGACGTAAATACCCTTGCTGATTGAACTCAGAAGTCCATCAATGGAAAAGAGCATTCAGTCGATCATATAAACATCACTATCATAGTTTATCCACCATCAGTATAATGGGACATAAGAAAAAGATAATTCGAAAGATTGGAATAGTGTTGCCAATATATTCACATGATATCAGGTTTAGGAAAATTCCTCCAGGAAAAAGGCTTAGCAAATAAGTTAAACCACTGCACCTTCACCACAGTTGCTGAAGTAAAGCTTCTAGACCATCATGGAGATGTGACTCCATAAATTATGCAGTCTCAGGAATTACAGCATTATCACACAAATAATTTACATCGTAGCATTTACTCCTTTTTATCCACCCAAATGAGAAAACAAATTCATTCTTATTCTGGTCAAAACTCACCAGGAGAACACCTCGAGGTGGGCGAGCACCAAGACGTGTATACTTGTCCGGATTCCTCAGAAATTCCTGGACAGTAAACATGAACACATAAACACTTCACTAATTACGAGTCTCCACGGCTAACACAATTTATAATCCAGCAGCATTAAAAACAAAAGATGAGGATTCTCTAACATACCACAATTTCTTCTAGCTCCTCCTTGGCCTCATCAACACCCGCAACATCAGCAAATGTGATAGTGTCCCCTTGTTCAGACACCTTTGCTCCACCAGAATTGCCAGACTTACGGTTTCTAAGCTGGCCAGCTGTATGCTGTAGACATTTTGCAGGAAATCAGTAAGTATCATTTACTGAGTAGCATCATGTTTCAAGGAACAGGGAAAAGTGGTAAGCTGTTCACACCTGAGAAAAGCTTACAGGGAAGCGGTGAAGAAGTCCTGCAAGCACAGCAACATAAAACAAAGCTATCTGCAAGAATCAAGCAAGGTCAAAACCCACTGAACTTCGATCTCAAACAAAAAATTGCGAACTCCAAACACAACAAAATATTCCAATTAAAGCAAGCACTAAGCCTTAATTGAAATTATAACTCAACTCAACAAAGTACCTTTTTCCCAACTATTAGGGGTCGGCTACATGAATCATGTTTTTCCATTTTGCTCCATCTAAGGCCATAGTTTCAGACCATATATTGTCATATCTTTTCCTACCAACCCTACCCATGTTAATTTTAGTCTTCCCCTCACATTACCCTCAATATAGACTATGTTACTCCTCCTAACTAGTGCACTTATGGTCTTCATTGTACACATTCAAACTATCTTAATTGATTTTCTCTCATCTTATCTCCAACGTGTGCTACTCTTAAACCATGCCAATTCATTTCATATTCTATTCTTTCTCGTCTTTCCAAACACCCATCTCAACATTCACATTTCTGTCACACTCAAGTTAACTGAAATTATATTAAAAAATAGAGAACAGATACACATATATACACAGGAACTGCAGAAAAGCAACAGAACTATCGCTAGCATCAGGGAACTCTGATCTGGTGTGCGTGCACAAGATCTCTAATTTTAGAACCCACTTATTGTTGGTCCAGACTCCAGAGTCACAGGAGAAAAGAAAGTCGCAATTTTTAACGGGCAAGGAGAGAGCACACAACGAGTGCATATGACACCTTCTACACTTTTAAAAAATATCCACATACCAAAAAAAATGTCCTATCCTTCATCATTTCGTTCGGTTTTACAAAAGGTCATCTTATTGGAAACAATGCTAGGTGTAAGAGAGATATGAGATCAATCTACCTATTCTTTACCAAAATTATGACACCAGATGATTGAGGGGTGAAAATTTTAACTACCCACTGGCGGCAAGGGAACTTCCCCAACTAAGAAAGTGAAATTAATTGGAATACTGCAAGGGTGTAAAGATATGAATTATATACCAATTTTACGACATTTAGATGTGATCAAATTATGAGCTTCCATACATAAGAAGTAGCAAAAATGACACTATAAGGATGCTAACAAATGAAGATATGGTTATTGATAATGATAACTATCATCATCATCATTAGAATTAGTACACTTGGAAAACAATTAAGAGAATTAATTCTGATGCTTTAAAATGACAAAAAGGTAAGTGGAATGCCAAAAAAGATTGTAGGCTGAGACTGTAACAGGAAATGATTTTGAATGAGGATAAGGCTTTCAAAAGAACTAACTGGAGAAATCGGGTTACCCAATTCCATGAAAAATCAGATTCCCATGTTGCACCGCACCACTACTTCTGAGCCACTACAAAAATGGAATATACTGATTTCTAGTTCGCACCAAAAGGTGTGTTATAAACCTTAAAATGGTAAACTTATAATGCACACACACACACACACACACAAATGGAGGATATAATGCAACACACTACAACATAGATTAGGAGATAAAAACAAGAAAAAATAATGTTCTTCTTTAGTTTGCAACAATTTACAACCTTAAATAGAAAACAAAAACTTCCAAAGGGAAAAAGAGAAGGATATACACTAATCACAATATCTTGAAACCTATGCCCTATAGCTCCTCCATGTAGGACCTAGTTATTATTATTTTTTTTTTCACATAATAGGTATATACACGCTTTTTGACTAGAAACACTTATAATTGTAAGAGATAAATATTAATGCAATAATATTTTTTAATAACATAAAGATATCATTTCCAAAACACGTAAGCAAAACCCTAGATACAAAGATCTCCAAAAAGATTCGATCATCTCATTGAGAAAAGAATAAAACATCCTTCCACATTAAAGAATCTTAGATGAAAGTGATATACGCAACTCTTACTAGGTACTTTAAAAAAAGTAAAAGAAAATACAAAAGGATATGTGTTGCATAAATATTGGCTCCTAAAGATCCTAAGTTTCATTATCCATACTTTGTGCATTTTCCTTCTGTTCTATTCTGGTTTTATTTTTGTTTTTTTGGATTTAACTTTCAACCATAAGCTCCCTCAGGAAACAATGATAAGTAGCATTGACCCTAGTTATGTTTTAGTAACAACTAACGTATACTTCTATGTATCAAAGATATTGTGATAATAAAGAATATGAACCACCCAGGAGCAACTATTTGCAACACATACCATTAATTGGTTCCTTTTATTATTATTATTTTTATTGGTTGCAAATAATTGGCAGTTTAAAATAAGCAAATTTAATATAATGTTGTGTTTGGGAGCACCAAATCAGCACTTGAAATTGAAATTGGATGCCGATTCAGTGCTCCAAAAGTAGCTTAATGTCATGTCTCGCCATGGAAGGTTATGCCACGCAAATGACACGCAAGCATGGGTAGTCTGCATGGCCAGAACATTCTAGACTTCAAATCTACATTTGTGTGGGGTTATCCAGAATAGTATTGACTTCTCTAATATAGACTAAAACCCTCTACAGTTCTAGAGATATATCTTCGATATTCTTTGGGAGTGTTTTAGAACCCCATCCTATAATTCTCTCTGTCGTTGGATCAATAACACATGTACATATTTTAGTCCTTCATTGTAAGGCCGTGTCTATAAATAGGGTGGGAACTCATAGCTGTAAGCATTCTCTAAAAGTGTACATTCCCTTAATCTCTCTTGCTCACTTGCCCACATTTCCTCAATCTCTCTTGCTCACTTGCCAACTAACTTTTCTTTCGCGGTCACAAGTAAGCTAGCTACTAGAGTCACCATGATGAATCTAGGCATGTAAAGAATTCAGCTTTATCAGGAACTCCAAGAATTTGACTTTAAGAGAGAGAAAGTAACTAGAGGGAAAGCTAGGGATTACTTTTCGGTTTTCTTATTTTACATTTTTCAGTTGTATCTGTTTGGAATAAAAAATGACATTTTTAAACCACAAATTGATGATGTGTTCAATGTATTAATGTGAATTTTTTTTAGTTCAGCAATATTTGCGATTCCTCAAAAACAAAAATAATTCTTTTGTTCAACAATCAAATCCAATCCATCCATCAAAGTGAAACCTAAATGATAACAATATTTCAAGATGATAATTTAATAAAGAATTCATTAAATCCATTCAAAGCACATTTAGTAGACATACACATAAAATCTGCATAAGTCAGATAAGTGAGGAAGTTTTAGGTTAGAGAGGTCTAACTTTTCAGTTTTCAATGAATGTTGAACATGATATACTGAATACACAAAGATCTTACCAAAGCAGAGTTCATGAATCCGCCTGACCGCTTATCCGGAGAACCAAACTCGACATCGTTTTCAAGCATCCTCTCATAAGGAGTCTTAATATCAGTTGGCCTTGTAGTTGTGTAAATAACTCGCTTCGTAGGAGTTACACTCCGAAGCAACAATTCAGAATCCTGTAACTTACTAGCAATTCCTACCTCACTTTCTTGACTACCCTGCTCCGACTTCAATCTAAACATAACGTGCACCCCATCAACTTCAACCTTCTGAACCTGATTACTGTTAATTTTACTCAAGAAATCACTGTACGGAACGCTGACAAACGTGGTCGGAGTCCTTGGCTCCGACCCCGGCAACGGAATCCCCGGCCGGAGCAACCTCATAACGAACATAACAATACCTAATTGCAACAACAATATACCGATCTCCTGCGCCTGGATTATGGGCTGCCACCGCCACTTCCCTCCCTTCCACCACCCACCTTTCCTTTGCTTCTCTCTCCTCGACGACGGAGACGGTGGAGAAGAATTCGTCCTCGGTCCAGTCTCACTCGCTCCTTTGCTTTCGTTGGCCTTTGCTTCACTCTTTTCTCCCGTCGAATCACTGTCTTGCTCGCACGCTCTAATTCTACTATCTCTCCAACCTCGATTCCTCAAAAAGCCTCCCCAGAGGTCAAACCCTTCCGGTCTCGTCAAAACCCTAGATTGTCTGTACATGTTGCTCGACCCGAACGACATCGAATTAGTGACAAAAAGTTTCGGCTTTTCATGTAGAACCCTAAATCGATTATAAAAATACCTATATTTATATAAATCTTTGGGATTATTGCTCGAATATACATGGATGTTTCTATGAATTATTGGTTGCAGAGGTTCCATGACGGACATTCTTGAAACCCTAGAATTTAAGGGAGGAAAAATCGAAGAAATTTATATGTATTTGCGTTTGTCTGAAGATTTGAGGGCATGTATTCTGCTAACACGAGAGAGAAGTGCGAACATAGAAGAAGAGCGGGGTTCAAGGAGAGATGTGCGCCGTTGGATCCAAATGTCTGGCTTTTCTGACCGTTAATTTACGTCTTTGTGTGTTTTTATGTTTTCGCGTTATCCGAAAGTGAAAAGAGTTCACCATTGGATCGTATTCGAAGATTGAGGAGGAGATTCTCTGTATCACTGACCACGTGTGTAAATATTCTGGTTGGTGGCCACGTGTAAGATATCGATTGCTACCTAAAAGACTAAAACTGAGAACACACATTCGGTTTGGTGGGTTCAGTCTGAAATTTGGACGTGTTGGGCGTGGACCAGACAATAGGTAATTTGGTTATAGCCCATTTGGTCTAATTAACCATCAACTCAACAACACTGTCAATTTCAAAACATAATTAACGTAAAAGCATTTGAGGACGTTGAAATATATGCATATAATTTTTGATAAGTGCTAAACATATATGTTGACACCCGTATAAAGAGGGTGTTCGGGTCAACCAAAAAAAAAAAAATAGTACAACACAAATTCTTAAAAAAATTCTTTCACCTTCTTTCTATTCTCCCGATCTAATATTAATTTGATCATCGGAGGCTCTTAGGCCGGTACCACACCGGTATCCCTCGATCACCTTTCTTTTCCCTTTTTAGATATGGCGTCGTTTTGGGTCATTACAGAATCTAACATCATCAATTGGTGCTGTCTGTGGAAAATAAAGTAATAGGCAGTTTAGCAATAGACCATTCGAAATAAAATTAAGTAGATGGTTGAAGAAATACTTCAAAAGCAGTAAAGCAAAAGAATCACTAACCGCGGCAGGCATGTCTAAATCAAATTCAAAGAGATGATTTTTTTTAAACAAAGCAAATTTATTTATTTATTTATTTTTTTTATCAAAGCAAAATGCTAATAAATTCAACATAAAGATAACGTATTTATTTGCGTGACAAATAATAATATGCCCCGGATAATATTTCAAGCCATGTAATAATATTTTTTGTTGGGACGAGGAAGTATTGTATAACAGGGTCAAAAGGAATAGCTACCGGCGTGTGTCATTTTATCTATCTCTAGGCTGTTGGTCCAATGAAAACAGGAAGGAAATTAGTGTGCAACTCCTGAATTAAAGGATCTAACAATGCTGTCAGCCAGACAAAGATTTCTAAAATTAACAAAACCCCAGAAACAAATTGTTTCAAAATTAAAGGAAAAACAGCCATTTGATTGGTCTTCCATCCTCTGTAAATTTCAATCAATAATTTATTTTATGTTTTTTATTTTTTATTTATTTTCATACTACCCACTTTGCTCTCACACCAAAACTCTATTTTGAGTGATTCCAATATGTGGATTTTTGTTCCTTTTTGCATTAATTTAATTTCTTAGTGTTAAATGGTTTTCTATTGTGAATTTTCACATGGCTTGTTTTCGAGTTTGTAATTATAATTCTTGTGGTTACTATATGTTCATATTTTGATTCTATCATATAGAAAAGTAACCATAATTCATGAAAAGTAGAATTCAAAGACATAGGTATGGCTCTCGAGGCAAAGAATATTCTAGTTTGTTTATGGAGAGTTCTTAAAGGTTCCATGAAATTGTGTTATAGCTGTGTAAAGAAGTGTCCATTTGTTTCTGGTATATTGTCATCTGTCATATTTTTGTATATATTTCTTCCCACATTCTTTAGTTTTTTGGTTTACTCTTCACCTGTTCTTGCCCTCACTGCTGTTGGTGTTAGAGTCATTCTAAGTCACCGCCGGAGCATAAAAAATGTTAAAGATGATGACAAGAAGAATGATGGGATATCCTCTCAGAAACTTGGGATTGTTGAAGGTGATGGCATTATCTATAAACACGAGAACTCTTCCGCACAAAGCCAAACAGCTATTCGAAGAAATGTCACAGAGAGAAACAAAGAAGTTTTCGAGCAGGGTGGTGTTGTGGAAAAAGGCATAGTTTCTTCAACAACCTGTAATGATGATCTGGTTGATAAAACTGCCCTCATTGAGGAATGCCCAAAAGATATTCGAGAGGTGAAAGTGGATTTTGTGGCTGATCGAGGGGAGAGTTCGTCTGCTGCTTCCAAACGTCCAAAACCAGAGAATTGTGGTGGCTCTGTTGAAAGGAAATTTAATGCTGGTGGAAGTGAGGCAGAGGCAGAAAGTTCAGAAGATGATGATGAAGAAGAGGCACAAGAGGATAGGAATAAGGCTGTTGAGTGGAATGAGGATGATCAAAAGAATCTCATGGATCTTGGGATTTCTGAGATAGAAAGGAACAGAAGGTTGGAGAGTTTAATTGCAAAACGTAGAGCGAGGAAGTTATTGAGCATGCAGATCAGGAGGACACTGATGAACTTGGGCAACAATGACCCTCGTGATCAAATTGCTTCCATTTTGATTCCAAAAAGTAATCATTTTCATCACAGTGATTCGGGCGATGCTCCATTTTCACCCATGCCAGGTTCAGCTCCTTCAGTATTGTTACCAATGCATAACCCTTTTGACCTTCCTTATGAGCCACATGAAGAAAAGCCCGATCTCATGGGGGACAGTTTCCATCAAGAGTTTATGGCAGCGCAGCAGAAGGAAGTTATGTTCTGCAGGCATGAGAGCTTCAGTCTAGGGGCATTTTTCCCAGGGGACCTCAAGCAAAATAGACATGAAACATTTTGGAGTTCTAACTTTGCTACCAGGCAGAGAGGTCCGGAGATTCCTGGATACTCTGGATTAAGAAATCAATTAGGTAAGATGAAGTCTTTGGGACAAAGGTTTTACTTGTATTAAAAAATTTAATATTTGAGGGTGGGCTTTGGCGCTACTGTAATGGAAACATTCTCTCTGCATGTGGAGGTAAAGGTAAGGCTGTGTCCATCTGACCTTTCCCCGACCCCACAATGGCGGGAGCCTGGTTCACTGTTCTAGCCCTTTATATATATATATATATAGTTGTTGCCGTGCAGGTAAATAAGATACTGACAAGCTATTTGAAACAGATTCATCACAAGGTGAGACCATTTTGCGTGTTCGTAATGCTCGTGATATTGCCAGATTACGAGGCCAAACCTCTGAACGGGTATCTAATTTGGTTGACATTGACCATGAAGAGGACAGAAATGGAACTCAGACAAAACGAAGATTAGTCAAAGACGACAATGGTCGCTCAAGCTCATCATCTTCATCAGAAGCAAATGAACCATTCTTCAATGCAAATAGTGAAGTTTTGAAGTCCCTTTCCTTTTCAGTTCCGAGGAACACACCTGTACATAGAGAGGATAATAATCGAACGGATGAGCTTTTATTTGATTCGAGTCCATCTGCTTTCGATAGGATAAGAATGGAGGAACGCTTCTTTCATTCAGATAAGGGACCACATCATACTCCTACCCATTCCATTGCTTCTGACTTGCAGGTGGAGGTCTCAGAAGTTAGTTCACCTATGGTGATGACTGATGGATCCATTTCACCTGCAGATAGAGAATCTCTGATAGCAGAATTGGAAAAGGAGACCACTTCTGGCAGTGAAAAATTGTGGATTACCTCATCTTACCTATCTGAGGCCGAAGAAGATGAGTCAAGATCGAGAGAAGTACACGAAGTCAGTGAGCAAGATATTTTTGATGTAGGTTTCTTAAAAATCAATCAGAAATCCAATGATCCCATTATGTCACACGAGCTGCCAGAAAAAGTAGTCCCACAAGATGCCACTGACAAAAGTCCACCGTCGTCTTCAAAAACTGAACTACCTGAGGGCAGTAAAGCCCATTTAACGGATTCCAACCACGAAATTCATGATGTTGTCCAACCACCTAGACCTTCTAACTCTTCAGATAGACAATCATCTGAAAGTTTGACTTTGCCGGTACTTGAAAAAGCACAGCAATCGATGGAGAAATCCTTGATTCACCCATCTTATGAGGGTGATTCTGAAAGAAAACCAGAGGTTAGTTTATCTACCACACTCATAGAGTCTAGCACATTTATAAAGCATTCTATCTCGTGAATAGAGTTACATAGCATATCATTTTTGAACTTTCAAATTCATAAAGTCCCATCCATCAATCTGGAAGAAAAGGTAGTGCTTAGGCATGAGTTTGTTTACCTCTATCATTGGCTAGCAAATGCATTGCTTATGCTTACTTGCAGTTCTTTTGCTTTTTCAAATTTAACATTTATTTGGCCTCTTCCTTAATGTTACTTCATATATGCTTAAATTTACTGAAGATTCTGTGAGAATAAAATGAAATAAGCAGAAGAATGATATTTAGACTAATAGTTGCACATTTTCTGACATTGAACAGGAACCACCTTACCCTACAGAGAAATCCGTGTGGGAGGCGAATTCCATTTGCAGCATGAAATATCCAGCAGTCTCCGTGAACAATAGAACGGAAATATTAGGATCTATCAAAGATGTAGATTGTGAAGCTCCCATCTTGAGCAAGCAAACGGAAGACCTCGACCTGTCAGTTCCTACCCAGGAACCTGATTCAAAATATATTAAGATTGTTGAAGGAAAATCTGAAGGACCAGAAAATCATCATTCAAAGTCTACTTCTGAGTATCCTGGAGTATCTGAAAAGCAAACTGAACACTGTCACATTGCAGAGAAGTCAATATTGCTTGAGAATAAAAACATTCAACATAGAGGAGATGCACAAAGTGTTGTAGAAATTGGATCTTCTGGGGCTAACAAGAATTCTAATGATCCTGTTGCATTAGCTGTGCAGCCGGAAGTGATAGTTGCATGCGGTCCTATTGACTCAAGTTCTTCATCTCCTGAGCCTGTCTTAGAGAAAAAGATCCCCACAAATCAAGTATCCTCAACAAATTTTGATCAAACAATACAAGTAACTGTCCAACAATTTTGTGATGACATGGCAGAAAAAAATTTATTGGATGAATTGTCAGCTGAAAATTTTAAACCAACCTTATCCCAAAATGCACTGCATTTGACAGAGGGTTCAACGGTTCATCATTCTGATAGTACAGATCCTGAAAAATTACAGGTCAGTTGGCACATGACTTTATAGTTATTAATAAATTTGTAAATAAATAAAAATCTTGACAGGAAACCAGTCATTAAGACTTCAAAAGCTAACTATATAGAAAAAAAACATTAATATTATGTACAAAAGGATGTTCTTTATTGCTTTGATATTGACACACTGTATTGCATAGGTCTTTTTAAATAGTCAATGGTCAGGAATTTACATTAAAACTTCACAATTTTTTTATTAAAGAAGATAAGATTACTTGGCACAAGGGAGTTTTCCCTCAATTCTTAGATCACAAATGCACTATGTTTGCTCACCTTTTCTCAATTTTCTTGACCAAGTTAAATTTAATATTTATTTATATATTCTTGATGTTATTGAATATATTTGTTTATAAATTTGTTTCTTCTCTCTGCGTGAGTTTGTGTGAAATATAATACAAAAGAGAACAGTTTTTGGACTCACCATTGCACCCCTTATCGTATTGAACAGGAACCATCTAACCCTCCTGGGAATAGGGAGGCTAACATCACTCGCAATGTGAATGATTCAGAACGTGAATTGACTGGGGTTAGTCATAGTCTTAATGATACCATTGCATTGGCTGTGTTGCCAGAGCTGGTGGTTGAACAAGTTCCTGTTGCTTCTAGTTCGTCCTCATCTCCCACATCTGTGTTACAGAAAAAGTTGTCAATGGATCAAACCTCGTCATTGAGTTTTGATCAGGATATACACATAGAGGACCAACAACATGAAACAGAGATGGTAGAAAATAATTACTTGGTTGAATTGCCATCTGAAAATTTAGCTTCGACTGCTCCTCAAAATGCACTGCATTTGGAGGGGGATTCAACAGCTCAACCTCCTAACAGTAGAGATACTGAAAAACTGCAGGTTAGTATTTTATTGTAATTAATGAATATGAAAAATGAGGGTGAGCCTTGGTGCAACGGTAAGGTTGCTCCATTGTGACCTGGAGGTCACGAGTTTGAAACAAGGAAACATCCTCTCCATATGTGGCTGTGTACACATCTAACCCTCCCCGACCCCGCAATGGCAAAAGCCTCGTTGGGTTTGCCCTAATGAATATGAAAAACACAGGAATTGAAGATAGCAAATCAAATTTTGAGGCTCTAAAGGCCCAAGGTATAACTATAGAAGAGAAAATAGAAATGTTATTTATCATTATATTTCTTTAATCTCTTAGGATAGTAATTCCTGCTAAAGCAACTATAAGTTGATCTCTCTTCTCTCTCTCACGTATCATCTTCATAAGAATCTTCTCCATGCCTGATAATTACATATTGGAATTTGTATAGTAGACTAGAAATATGTTGGAGATGAAATGATTGAACTTTTAGTTGCACCTCATTTTGAACAGGAATCATCTAATATTTCAACAATGTCCACGGAGGAACCTAATACCATCTACATTGTGAATGAATCTGTTGTCATTCACAACAAAGGCAAGGATAACTCAAAATCCATTGAGAAGTTTGAAGGTGGATCAGAAACATTAAGCAGTCACGATGCTAATGCTGAACTGTCAAAAACAGCTGAGAGAACAGACTCCAGATCTAACAAAGACATTGAAAGCAAATCTGAAGAGCTGACTATATGCGAAGCATCTATTTCCCCATCAAAAGCAGCAAAGCAAAGCGATAATTCAAATATCTATTTAATTAAAGAAGAGGTAAAGTTATGTTGCATAGTTTTGTATGTCTTGGTTAATTGCTGTTTATGTTATTTTTCTGTATTTGTTGCTTGTGTGAGAACCTTTTTTTTTTGTATAATAAGATGACTGACATTTTATATTTTGGAACAATAAATATGGAACCACCCAACCCTTCAGGGAAATCCATTGAAGAACCCAATGTCAAATTATAATGTAAATCAATTGGTGATCAGTGAGAAGGTGAAATAACTAAAGTAAAACTGGTTCAAATTGGAAATGACGCTGGTGGTTGTACTGGACACAGTGAGACCAATAGATAAATCATTAAATCCATTGAAGTTAGAAGGTGAACTCATGAAATTGGCTAAAGATGACGCTTCATAGGCCCATTGATACCAATATATGAAATTGAAAGTTTAGATATCATTAAAGATGCTGAAGAGTTTGAAAAATCAATAGAATCTGAGAATGATATCCAACGAGGAAGGCAGCCCACATCAATGATAACTTAGAAACTGTTTTAAGTTGTTGAAGGTGAATACAAACCTGACCCATTAAAACCAGCTGATCATTCCCTGCAATTTCTATAGAGAGGGAGGTAATATAATGTTGTGGATATCAATTGTTATTCTTTTTGAGAGAACTGTAAATTTTGTTATTCAATAAAAAAAAATGTCATTTTTCCTCATGCTCCTTTTTTGGCAGAGAAGTCGGAGAATCCTAGGAGTGAAAAATAGATATTTGAAACTTAAAAACCAACCCAAAGCCAGATTGTTTTACTTTCAAATTTTATTTCTGTCCATCTTATGGAGAACCAAATGGATCACAAATTGTTAAATACTAAAAAGATTGCCTTAATCTTATTTTCTCTTCTATCCACGACGCATTAACTAAGCTTCTATTTCTTCTAAATCAGATTTTTTTTTTCTTTTTTTATTCCATTAATAGATTTTATATTTCTGTATTTATTGGCTTTTGTTTAATAAATATTCTTTTGCATGAATTGTAACTGCAAAAATGTTATAATGTATTTAATAAAAGAAGAAGGACACTGATCTTACATTTGCAACGATTTGTGACACTGGATAGGAATCATTTCATCCTCCTCCAATAAGGCCCATTGAAGAAGTCACAATCATTTCTAATCTGAATGAATCATTAGCCAGTGAAACAGATGACAAGGACTTAAAATCTGTTGCTGGAGATACTGAAGGTAAAATCCAAAGTTCATTCAGACGAGCAACAGTTGTCAAATCATCAGAAAATGCTGAGATAACCGATTCAATATCTACAGATGATGTCGGAGTCAAGCCCAAGAATCTGACTGAAATTAAGGCTGTTGTTGATCCATCAAAGCTAGCAGAGGAAAATGGTGACTTGAGCAATCCTATGACTTCTATACAAAGAGAGGTAATACAATGCTGTCATTTTTTGTTAATCAATAAAAGAAATAGTATCTTTTTCTCATGCTCCTGCAGAAAAGTGAGAGAAGTTACATGGAATCTTAAGATTACCCCTACTCGTATAGTTCTAACTTCAAATATTTATTTTCTTTTCGACCATATTATGAATAACCAAATGGAGCATAAATTCTTTTATATTAATGCATTACCTTATGCCTCCTTTCTTTTGTTCCATGACATATAGTGAACTTCTTGCTTATCAGTTAGTTCTTTCTAAGTTTGTTATTAGGTTTTACTATACCTTTGTACATATATTTAATTTTTTTTTATATAAAATAAAGATATATGTAGTAGATAGAAAAGGATAATGACCTTACACCGCAACCATTTGTGATGGACAGGAACCATTTAATCCTCTGCCGAGGAGGCCCATTGAAGAAGCCAGTATCATTTCCAGTGTGAATGAACTGGTTGTCAGTGAAATGGATGAAAATGGCTATAAATCTGCTGTTGGAGACATTGAGGGTGAATCTCAAAAATCAATCAGTCCAGAAACTGTGGTCGAACCATTAGAAAGTACTGAGGTAGCAAGCTCAAGAAATATGGAAGATACTAAAGGCAAATTGTCCGAAGTTGGAGCTATGGTAGGCTCATCAGATCCAGCATGGGAGAACGATAATTTTAAAAACAAAAAAGATACCAAAGAGTTTGGAAAATTAACTGATCATGAGAGTGTTACAAAACCCACAAAGCCTGATCAGGGCAATGATAGCTTACAAGATGAAGGCAGGAATGGTGAATCCATATATTTTATTAAAGACAGTGTTGAGTCGGATAAACCTGTCAACCACAATGTTGTCATGGAATCATCAAAACCAACGGAATCTGGAGAGAAGGTTCCCAATGCAGAGATAAACAAAGATCATACAAAGCCTGATATGGTCAATGATAGCATAGGAGACATGGAAGATAGGAAAGGTGAATCCATAGATTCAATTAAAGACAATGCTGATTCAGATAAATCTGTCCACCACAACGGTGTTATGGAATCGTCAAAACTGATAGAATCTGGAGGAAAGGTTCCCAATGCAGAGGTAAATGGAGGCCATACAAAGCCTGATATGGTCAGTGATAGTTTAAGAGACATGGGAGATAGGAAAGGTGAATCCAAAGATTCGGTTGAAGACAGTTTTGAGTTGGATAATTCTGTCAACCCCAACGGTGTTATGGAATTGTCAAAACCAACAGAATCTGGAGGAAAGGTTCCCAATGCAGAGGTAAATAGAGGCCATGCAAGGTCTGATATGGTCAACGATAGCTTAGGAGACATGGAAGATAGGAAAGGTGAATCCAAAGATTCGGTTAAAGACAGTTTTGAGTTGGATAACTCTGTCAACCCCAACGGTGTTTTGGAATCGTCAAAACCAACAGAATCTGGAGGAAAGGTTCCCAATGCAGAGGTAAATAGAGGCCATACAAAGCCTGATATGGTCAACGATAGCTTAGGAGACATGGAAGATAGAAAAGGTGAATCCAAAGATTCGATTAAAGACAGTTTTGAGTTGGATAACTCTGTCAACCACAATGGTGTTATGGAATCATCAAAACCAACAGAATCTGGAGGAAAAGTTCCCAATGCAGAGGTAAATAGTGTCCATACAATGCCTGATATGGTCAACGATAGCTTAGGAGACATGGAAGATAGGAAAGGTGATTCCAAATATTTGATTAAAGACAGAGTTGAGTTGAATAAATCTGTCAACCACAATGGTGTTATGGAATCATTAAAACCAACAGAATCTGGAGGGGAAGTTCCTAATGCTGAGGTAAATGAAGGCAATACAAAGCCTGAATGAAGTGGTTTGCATATGCGCATCCTTAAACTGATTTTCAGGAAGTCGGTTCTGCTTCTGCGAGCGACTTGGTAGGATAGAATAGAAAGCTAAATGTCTTTCTGATTCAGGTTGATGATTAACTAAACAGGTTAAACATGCCAAATTCAAGGATACTTGTCTGGATTTGCAATTTTAGCATATTTACCTTGAAGGGTGAGTTGCTACATTAGTTTCGCTGCTCCAGAAAAGACTGTTTTTCCAAGTGTACCAGGCTAATGGAGGCTTCATTTTCCAATTGACAATGGGACTTCGAACATGGACAATTTTGATTCGTAAGGGTGTTACTGACTGGTTTGGAAAGAAAGCTTGTCGTCTCTCTTTCCATTGTTTTTCTTTTAGTTTTTATCGAAACTCCTCTTAAGTCGCTTGTATTTTATATTAAGAAAGAATGCAGACAGCTTTGCAGTAAGTTTTGTAACTTGGATGACAAAAGGAGGATGTGGAATCTGTTAGACATTCTATGTAAATATACTCCTATATTTTATTGTTTTTGTAATTGTGATGTGTAAAGGGAGTGTTAGTATAAAAAGAAATGAATGAGAGGTGTTGAACCGGCTATTCGTTATAAAGCATTCCTCAAATCTGCACCAGGAAGGTGTTTTCTTCCTCTCTGGAGTAATTATAGTTGTTTAATTAACAAATAATAATGTGGGTGGAGCTTTCTTGGATAAGCCATGGAAATGGAATCAGTTTGTTTGATTTGCTTTGCATTCAGTGGCCGCATATTTGAAATGAAGCTATAACAGAAGACGGACTCCACAGAGAATAGTCAGGATTTGAAACAACGCTGATTCATAAGACTAAAAAAGTCATTAACCAGCATAATCCTGCCAATGTATGACATGAAATATGATTTTTAACTCATTCTAACTTCTACCGGTTGTGTAAAACACAATGATTGTCTCATTTGCAAAACATGTTATGAGTTCATCTACGATGACAATCTACGAATCTGCTATTTGAAAAATATCAAAAATCATTTTCGAACTGGTGAGGCCTTTGGAAGCTTACGGCTCTGGTTCAAGACTCAGCATTAGCGAATCTTGAACTTGAATGATGCATGTGGTTTCTGGTATTACATGTATGTATCCGGAGTTAGCAAACTATCCAAAATCTCCACATGAATAATGAGGTTGAATTGGTTTTTTGGTTAAAAATTAAAAATAAAAAATTTTAAAAATACTAAAATAATCACGTGACGAAGGGGAAAAATGAAAGCTGAATTACTAAAATGTCACTGTATTTTTGTAGAATTACAAGAGCACCCTTTCATCACTCTGTTATAATAATAGCAATTGGGATAAGAATCATTCCCTTTTTCTCTCTATCCTGTATTATGGATCTCATAAAAGTTGTGATACCGATATGTTGTTAGAGATTTTAGGAAACAGAAAGACATCAAAAACTGATTGATTTACGATGCAGATAAATATATTAAGGATAAGGACAATGTCAATATGATTATGAATTAGAAATTAATTTCAATTCAACATATATTCTCTAGCCAGTTGGGGAAAAAAATAATACTTTCAAGTATCTCAGTATAACTCTATTTCTCTCTCTTTTTCTCACTTAGTAAAGAATAAAAAATAATAAAAAAATTTGATCTTCTTTGTGACAGTTGTTTGTGAGAGAGGGAGAGAGCTGATAATAGCAACCATGCCTGCTCAAATCATGTCACTCGAAAAAGGGGGCACAGAGTTCCCAGCCAAGCTCACCAAACAGGTCTTTGTTTGTTCCATCATTGCAGCCTTTGGTGGTCTCATGTTCGGCTATGATATTGGCATTTCAGGTACATACCATAATATATTCATATCCATATATATACACACACACACACACTCTTTGACCACTACTATGGTGGTGTTTTCATATCAATGTTGTTGAATTAAAATAAAAGTTTTTAATTATATTTTTTTATATTCCTCTAAGATCTGACTTTTAGAAGCTTTGTTAGGCTTTTAATATGTGGTTGATTAAAGATGAGAAGGGATGACCTCTTAGTCTCTTACCATGGCACTTCAAGACTCCATCATTAACTCTCTTCCATCAAATCTAATAATCTTTAAGAATTTACAAAATAATATTCTAGAAAATTTCCAAATATTAATTTTGAAAATTTTGTTCTTCAAGGCTTTCAAACATTGTAGATGTTTTCTTTTCACTATCTCTGTTGCCGTAATCTCTAATTTTTTCACAAAAGTCTGTTTCCAATCAATCTTCTTGAATTTAGCCTCAAATTTTTTACTCTTATTATCACTTGGATAAAAAATTTCTTTTCATCTTCACCTGCAAATCTCCTATAGAAAATTAACACACACATGTATATATAAGAAATAAGAATATATATATATATATATATTTTTAAATTGAGTTAGAAATAAGGATTTTTATGTTATGATGTGAATATATATATGTTGTTATAGGGGGAGTGACATCAATGGATGATTTTTTGTTGAAGTTCTTTCCAACTGTTTATGTTAAGAAGCACAATGCAAAAGAGGACAACTACTGCAAGTATGATAGCCAGTACCTCCAACTCTTCACCTCTTCTCTATACCTGGCCGCCATTGTTTCCAGCTACTTTGCATCTCTGTCTTGCAAGAAACTAGGCAGGAAACCCACCATGCAACTTGCCTCACTGTTCTTCTTCATCGGGGCCATTTTCAACGTCTCCGCTGTAAACCTACCTATGTTGATTGTAGGAAGGATTTGTCTTGGTGTTGGAGTTGGTTTTGGCAACCAGGTAACTTTTATTAACTCTATAATCTTGCTAAGAATTCTGTTTGTAGAATATTTACTTGGCCAATTTATTTATTTATATTGATCACGACCATTTTTCTTTTGTTGCATCATAAACTAATTTCATTCAAATTAATATAATCAATTTATGCAAGTGATATCAATTTGTGGGAACATGTCAACCAATAATGTACTATACTTCAACTGATTTGAGGAAATTTTCCCCTCAATTGCAATGTTAGACTTAATTACATGATCAAACTTCAAATTTAGGGGCATTAAATTGAACCACACAAATCTATATTATATAATATTAATGAAACATAATCTATAGATGTGATAGACTGCAAGGAATTAACATTATTAACTGCAGGCAGTGCCGCTATTCATCTCAGAGATTGCTCCGGCACAATACAGAGGAGGCCTTAACATTTGCTTTCAGTTGCTGATCACAATAGGCATTTTGTTCGCGGGTGTGGTTAATTATTTCACTTCCCACTTGCACGCATGGGGTTGGAGGGTTTCCCTGGGTGGAGCAGCAATTCCCGCCATTTTTCTTGGATTAGGCTCCCTGATAATCGTAGAGACCCCCACCAGCCTAATAGAGCGCGACAGGAAGGAGGAAGGCATGGAGACTCTCAGAAAGATTAGGGGAGTAAGTGATGTTAGCAAAGAGTATGAAGAAATCATACATGCCACGGAGTTGGCCAAACAGATTAAGCACCCTTTCCGGAACCTCATGAAACGCTCTAGTAGGCCTCAACTCGTTTGTGGGACGATTCTTCAAGTTTTTCAGCAGTTCACTGGCATCAATGTGATCATGTTCTACGCTCCGGTCCTCTTTCAGACAATGGGGTTCGAGGGAGATGCGTCTCTACTATCAGCTGTGGTCACTGGTGGTGTTAATGTACTATGCACATTGGTTGCAAATTTTTGTGTTGATAGACTTGGAAGAAAAATTTTGCTTATTGAAGCTGCTGTTCAGATGCTCATTGCTCAGGTTTGCAGACTTAATCATTAGGACATAGAATATGCTAGTTATCATGTACAAATATATATATATATATATACATGTATATATGAAATGCAGGGGAGGTATATATATATAGCTCTTCCATTAGGCAATAAGCCCCAAAAGGAAGAAGGCTCCATTTTTTAAAAAAGACAAATTAGTCACAGCTAACATAACAATGGTTGTTTGTTTGTTGTAGTCTGTTATGGGAGGAATTCTTGCAGCGCATTTGAAAGCTACAAACACGATGCCATCAACATATGCAACACTTGTGCTTGTCTTGATATGCATTTTTGTGGGTGGTTTTGCATGGTCATGGGGTCCCTTGGGGTGGTTGATTCCGAGTGAAATATACCCACTGGAGACTCGAACTGCCGGATTTTTCTTTGCAGTGAGCACCAACATGGTCTTCACCTTCATCATTGCTCAAGCATTCCTCACCATGCTATGCCATCTGCGATCCGGGACCTTCTTCTTCTTCGCTGTTTGGATTGTTATAATGGGCGCTTACGCAATTTTCTTGCTGCCAGAAACAAAGGGAGTCCCTATTGACGAAATGAATGAAAGAGTATGGAAGAAGCACTGGTTTTGGAAGAGGTTTTATAGTGATGAGAAAGCTAGTTGCTGATAAAGTAGGAAATGCGAAATAAATTTTATTTTATTTACTTTTATATTTTAGTTATTACTATCTTAGATTTTCAGAGTGTAGGGAAATGCTATTGAGAAACAGTCATTAATTCTATAGAATCATTGCAAGTTTTGATGGGTTCTTAATAGTAATTTAACATTAATTAAATATGGTTTCAAATTAATTTCTATATAAGATGTATGATGAAATAGTTATCAAGGTGGATTGTGTCAAACATTTAGATTTCAAAGGAGAAATGATAAAAATCTAACTACAATTAAAAATGATGTTTTAGTAAAACTTGAATAAAAGATCTAAACTATTAATTGTATGTCAAATAAAAGTTTTCACTATAGAGAGTTAGTAATATTTATAGTTAAAGTTAATTTTTTAAGATAATAGTAATAAGAGTAATGATAGGGGAATGAAAAAAAATTCTTGAATAAGTCCCAAATTTGACGTGGTTGGTTATACTTGTCATGTGTTAAACAATTATTTTTTGAAAATTAGGTAAGTAAATGAGATGAACATAAACAATTTAAATTCGGAATTTATTCCGAAAATTCATTCGGTAACCCTATCATTTTTCTAAAAATAATCATGATATTTTATTTTTCCACCAAACTTCAAATATCACTTCCCATTAATATTAAAATTAATCTAGATTGATTTTTTTTTGATTGTCCTTCTTTTTATTGTGTGAGAATTGAGATGGACAACTACCCAATCTAATTGCAGAGGAAACTGTAAAAGTGCATAAAATTCCCACCAACAACAATTTACAGACATGAAGTCTGAATTTAAAAATGCGAACGGATGGACAATTTTACCCTTGTTTAAACTTCGTCGTTTGTCACATCTAACCTATTTAAAGGTAAACGACGCCGTTTTGTACATCCCCACCGCGATCACCGCATTTTACCAGAGCAATCCCCAACCCAGTGTACAGCAAATCATTCGCCAAAAATACCGACTGAGTGCGCCGATGTAATGGAACCACCGTCCTCACTCCTCACCCACATTCCTCACTACATTGACAATCTCATAAGCATAAAGCCATAAACCCAAAACATAACTCTCTCTTCTTTGTCTTCATCTTCTCATGAAAACTCATTCTTGCCGTCCAATTAAGCGGCGGAGACACCATGGCCAGGCGGTGCATGCCCAGCGGACAGGGCGGCGTCGACATACCGGATGGACTGAAGGAAACGGGGCTCCGGGGAATTGGCGGTTTGGAAGCAGAGAGGTTGGTCCGAGAGCTTCTCTGAGTGGTTCTGGGCATGAGGTCGAGTGTGGCATTGACACACAGAGAGAGCCGAATGCTTGAAAATAGTAGTTAGGGTTTTCTGGGAACGGAAGGTGGCGTTTGGGGATTTTCAACAGGGTCACTAAATCGGGTCAACCCTATTGCAATGGGTTGGTCTTAACTGTCACTAGGGCTTTTATTTATTTATTTTGTGGCCAGGCACGTGACATTCACGGCTCAGCTCAGGTTAACGTTAGGATTGGTTTTCGAAAAAACCAGGTAAGGGTGTTTAATGCACTTTAAACCTAATTTCAAACATAAGTTAGGTAATTCAGTAGAAGATTAGTTAGTCCTCTATCCTTCAACTACATTATTTTCCCGCTATTTAACAGATCTCAATGTCATTGTCACTCACCTTTCAACTAGCGAAGATCAACAAACCCAAAACCTAAAAAAAAAAATCGAAATTTGTTAGCACTTCTTGTGAAAGTTAAAAATGAACAAAATAGAAGACATTAATTGCATATACAAAAACCCTAACGAACCAATAGAAGCAAGAATCAAAGATCTTCTCTCCCGAATGACTCTCAAAGAAAAGATCGGTAAGATGACTCAAATTGACAGAAGCGTCGTCACTCCTTCCGCCATTAGAGACCTCTGCATAGGTCTCTACCTCTCTCTCATTATATATATATATATATATATATATATATATATTACGCAATTTAGTATTTACACAGAATACATACATATATATATGTGTATATATTCTGTGTAAATACTAAATTGCGTTATATATAAGTATAATCTCTCTTGTGCATTTATTTCATTTAATAGTGTTCTATTTTGCAGGAAGTATACTCAGCTCTGGCGAAAGTCTCAACTGGAGAGCTTTGTCATCTGATTGGGCCGACATGGTTGACGGGTTTCAAAAGTCCGCAATGGAATCGCGGCTCGGCATTCCACTTCTCTATGGAATTGATGCAGTTCATGGAAACAACACTGTCTACGGCGCTACCATATTTCCTCATAATGTTGGTCTTGGAGCCACCAGGTCAGTTCTACTTTAACCCTCTATCTAAATCTATATTGACTACCATTTGTTCTAAAAGTGTAGGCTATTATAGAGCGTTAACTTTTAATATTTAAAAACTCTTAACACACTCCCTCACATGTGGCCTTCTTGGTTTCAATTTTAATTTTTAGGGTGACGCACTGACGGTGACTTGGTGAGGTTTGAACTCACGACATTGCCTGTTCTGATATCATGTTAACCATCATCTACTCTAAAAACTTAAGCTATTACCAAAGGTGTAACTTTTTACAATATATATATACACACACACATGCACACATAGATATATTTGTGTTTATGCTCTTGTAGTAGTCTTTAGTGATTAGAAGTCAAATTGATGCCCTGAAAATTTGTAGTGGTCTTGTAGTAGTCTTTACTGCTCAAAATATGTTGTAGAGATCCAGATTTGGCACAAAGGATTGGGGTTGCGACAGCTCTTGAAGTTAGGGCGAGTGGCATTCACTACACTTTTGCCCCCACTGTGGCTGTAAGCTGTAATAGATTCCATCAATCACTCTTTATCTCTATATCTTTTCATGCTATATTTGTTTCAATTTGGTTACACTCATTGAATTGATTTCCCTTCACTTGGTACAATGAAATTCTAATAATGAGAGTAAATATTAGCTTGATGGGGAAAGTTATAAAACTTCCAAAACTAAAGACTGCGAGTTAGCTTTTGCAACTAACAAACTTCAAAAAGTTACCGATATTACCTTGATGTTATGTTTGGTTGCATGGAATTGGTGCTTTAGAATTGGAATTAGAGAAAATTTAGTTCAAAGTTTAAACTATTCTTTCTTCAATTCCAATTCCAAGCAACCGAACACAACATGAGTGTTAATAGCCTAAACCATCCATTTGTCCTTAGAATTTCAAACTTCAGCTTTTGCTTCAAAAGTTTGTCATTCATGGAAATCAATGAGATTGTGGAGGATAGATACAACAATAAGTTTGTCTAAAATGTAGAGTTGTTTCCATGATTTTTTAGATTTCAAATTTTGAAGGAACATTGGTTGCTAGTAGAAAAACTGTAAGGAGTTTCAATTTTCTCTTTTTAAAGTTACTAGAAGTTCAAAATCACATTTTGCCACTACCGTAGAGTTAACCTAAGTGATGCCCAAGGAAGAGGCAGCAATTTGTCAATTAAACTAACTTTTCTTTGTCCATCAAGGTCAAGTCCTTTAATAAATGCCTTTCCAGCAATACTCTAGTAGTAGTCATAAATTGTGTATTTGCATTGCTCATCCATGAGCTGGCATTTAGTCTTTGTAGTTTGCCTTAGGAATGACTCACCTTTTTTTTAGCAAGCACAAAAGGATCTCCTCGTTCCTACTAGGACTTAAACCCTGCACCTCGCCCATGAGTTGGCAAGAGATACCATTCAGGCTAGGCAACTGGAGGTGCCTTTGGACTAACTTAACCCACATTCATTTCATTGTATCACTATCTAAAAGCAACGCTTTTTATCTCCGAAAGTATGATCATTGTCAACCTGAAAGAACTTGCGGTAGCAACTATTTGATGGGTACATATTCGAGTTGACAGAGAAGGTTATGATTCAAGGAAATATGGAAGTTGAAATTTGATGGCCCAAGTATGGTTGCATCAAGCTAGTACACCATATATATTGAGAGATGCACTGAAAAAATACCTCTTTGGTGCTTTTTCATGGACCGGAAAATCAACTTAACCAGCTAGCAGTTATGTATACAAAGGGTTATTATTAGTTTCATTAATACAACTTGGAATTCATCGTCATGCCCTGCCTGTGTGTGTGCAACGCAAACCAAATCAGTCAAATCATACAATCATATCTTGGTGCTTATGCAGTTCATAATCACTTCCAACATGGACACTTCATTTGGGCTAAATTGTAGGATTTAATTTTGATTCAATATTCATATCGTGAATTGTGAGCTTCAAAATGGAATTCAAGGATTTCTCTCAAGGAGAATTATGTGGTTATACCTAGGATGCCTTTGGGGTTAAATCATGATGTTATTTCTTCTTCTTCTTCTTCTTCGCTTGTTGTCCTTTCTTTCAAAATTTTCTTTTGTCTTGAACAATATGTTGATGTGTTTATTGTTTAAATGATTCTTGACAGGTATCTAGGGATCCCAGATGGGGAAGATGCTATGAGAGTTACAGTGAAGACACTGAAATTGTTAGAAAGATGACTTCCATTATAGCAGGTTTGCAGGGGCAGCCACCCCAAGGACACCCAAAGGGTTACCCTTTTTTAGCTGGAAGGTAAGAGGTAAATCATCATTAAATATTTTCCTATTCATACTGGTCTCACGATTAAAACTTAGTGCATCTGTAGTCAATTGTTATAATTCAAGAAATTCATTTTTGCCGTTATCTTAAATCTTACTATGACATGATTTTTTATTTTTTTTTGGAAATTCAAGCAAATTGTATATATATAATGATAATTACAGGGTTCCCATGAGTAATGGGATACCATTGCTTGGGAGAGCTTTACAAAAGTAAAAGTACAATATTTTGGGTTGACAAACACAGAAGCCCAGTACTTTGAGTTAGGGGACTTCAACCTAATAGTAACTCAAGGACCAACATTAGGCCCATATCCCATGACTTCAAATAGCCGTTGCAATGACTATGATACAATATCCGGTTACGACATTTGTTTCTCTCAGACGACCATTGGGGAGC